ATTACTGCAAACTGCACTTGCTGATAGAGACAATAAATAAGACAGACGATATTGCTTAGAAGTGAGCATTGTTTCTACAAAATACTTTGAGGTGTAAATCTTGAGGGCCAGATTCTCAGTTTCACCTTTATCAACACAAAGCAATGGAGGACTCTTCCCATTGCGTCAGGCATCGTCCCGGCTGTAAGATTTCTTACCTGACGCCTTACATGCCTATGGGGCTGATGCAAACAACAGAAACAAGCCACCCTTTCACCGTAAGGAAGAAAACACATTTATGCACAGCCCAGGGGAAGCACAGGTTTTTGATATAGTGATTTATACTTAAATAAGATCTACAATACATTTATTTATGGGTTTCTATTTTTTGTGTCTTATAAACCAGGAATTCAGGAAAAGGTAGAGAAATTAAAAGCGCGTTGAAACCTCACGCCCACACCACTTTGTTCAACTGATGCTTCAGGTCTAAGAGACTTAGTAAGACAACCTCTCAAAAGCAATCACCAAATTTAAAACCCTATGGCCATAAAGAATTGACCCCAGTTGACACACACTGCAGTGTTACAGCAAATCTGTTGTTCCACAGGCAGGACCCTGCAGTTTTCCGATAGCAAAGGGTATTTTGGTTTTAACCACTACACTACGCTGTCCTTGGTTTGCTGTGTGGCTGCTGAGATGGAAAACCAGCACACTCTGCTCTTGCTTTCAGCTCTTGCAATGTGCCTTTCCACCCCTTTAAAGTGCAAGGAGCTGAACCTATATTTAGGAACTTTCCAGAGATAACAAATAGATCCCACCGGGCAGTTTTATGTATCTATTTTGTCCTCCTTTACAGAGAAAGACAACGGGCAAGAGAGTTCAAATGAAGCTCAGAGAAGCCAAAAAGGAAACCACAGGTTTTATTTTTCTCTTCAGAGCTTATGTTTAGTGAGACCTCATACCTCAGCATGGGAGGTATTGTGCTGTGCTTTTCTAGGGTTTTTAAATACCTCGGGTCACCCAGAGAGATTCTGTGAATTCAAATAATCCTGATGTTTACCAAAAGATGCAGATAAACATTCTTTAATTCTTCTCTTCCAACTTTCTCAGACCTCAGGAGAGATACCTGGAGATAAGATGTTCCAGTTTCAGTGGCAAAGGTCTTCTGTGACAACATGTTTTGGGAAATAAGTCGGATTGTTTACCCTTTGGTGGTAGTTTTGCTCTCTTTGGTTCACAGAGCATAAGGGAGAAAATTCTTTTCTAACGTCTCCTTCTGTTTATCCTTCTCCCTCCAGCTTCCTAATTCCACCCAAAAAGAAAGGTCATCGAGGCAAGACTGACAACTCGGTGTAGTTACGTGAGCTCCTGTGCATCCCTCTGTGCTCAAAAGCAGTTTTAGTTCTTCTTTTACTTCCCTCAATCATGACGCTGCTCTTGAAGGCCCTAAAAGGAGCATCCTGGAGGCACTCTAGCTTATGTTGCCTATAAACAGCCACAAAGGATTAACATTTCGGTTTGTGCTTTGTAACTGGATCAGGCTACACCAGCAACAGAAAGTTTGAGTGGTATAAGGCCCTTCTTTCACACTGTGGTAAAACTCCCACTGACTTCAACAGCATGGGAATATCACTGCTTCCCCCAGTTCTGGGGGACTGCTTCTTTCCTGGTAAATATTGGTTTGTAATTAGTCCAGGTTATAGCACAGGTGAGATGCAGAAGTGGCTCTACTGGATTGGAGAACCCAAGTCTAATAATTAACCTGAGGAATAATTTCTGATCCTTTAAATGAGGGGTATCTTACAACAAAGCTTCAGATATACAATGTGCTACTACAACACTTGTAACAGCTTTACCCCAAAAAAGGGAGGTTCTTCTTTCCTTCAAAGAGGGACTGCATAGAGAAGGTATGAGATTTTCCTGCACACACCCCCCTTCTTAAAAAAAATCTTTGCTGTCTTAGATGCAAAGAAATGGAGGTATCTGGCTCTCTGGGCAAATTGTGAGGTATGTGTCAGGTTGGTGATCCCTTCTTTCCCAATGTATATCCTCCATCATGTTACTGTATGCTGGAGGACTGCTGTGGGTGCTGTATCACATGCTAGGGTATTAAATGCATGGGTGGTAGGCATACTTCCAGCAAATAGTTTACTGTGGACAGGATGAAAGATTTGATGCAAAGAAGGAAAATCAACCACCCAAACAATGAAGTAAGGGGCTCAACTTCATTTCAGGCCCTTTGATTCAGGAGGTCTTTGGCAGGGACTGTTTTATTCTCCTTGCCAGAGTGTGGCCAGCTGAGCAAGCAAGGAATGTGTGCAACTTGCAATAGGTCAGTAACTTCACAGAGGTCAATGAAATCACTCATATGCTGAAGCCAATTAAGCCAGCCCACGCTCAGGTAAAACGTGTGCTTACTGAGCTTTGCCGAATCAGCACCTACCTCCCGAATAAAGTCCAGGATTGCTGCAGCTTCCGTTTCCTCTTTAAAAAACTTCCCTTCCCCTCCATAAGGAAAGTGTCTTCTCCTGACAAAGTGACAGAGCTCTTCCCCTACACCATGACAAGCTAAAACATGAGCAATACCAGATACACCCTGCATTAGTTACCAAATCTCTGCCGCTTTAATCCAGTCTAACAGGACAGACTGGTGCATGTCAGCATGGGCCTTTGTCAACCTGTGACCTTCAGCTGACATTACAGCTGCTGTCTTGAAGAACATGACCTACTCCTTAATTACGTAACACAGCTGCACAAGGCTGTCAAGGACAGAAACGGGGAAACTTAGCGCCAGGTTCAACAGTTGGTCCAGGGTCAACATCATTAGACTCATCTTCTAGCCATAGGAGTCCGTTCCAGTGTCACAGAGTCTATTATGGAAAAGATATCCACGGTAGACAGAAATAGGGATTAGACAATGTTCACACCAAGATATCGTCTCTCAGTCTGGGAAATCCACGCACACAAGCCCACCATGTGCTCTTTGGACAGTTAAATTGTTATCTTTCTTCCAGCCCTGTTCACATGTTGAGTTAATCGAAGTCAAGGAAATTCCATTATTATGCCATAAAAGTATAAAATTTGCTTTTGTTTAACGTGACATTTGAGTTTGTGAAAAAGCCTTTGCTCTGAAATCCAATTATTGACTAACACTGCTAAGCATGTAAATAGCTTATTCCCAGATCCTCTTCTGACCTTTTCCTGTAATTTCCATTAGATTTTAAACCACAAGTTTGGCAGAGCTATTGCTGTGAAAGGACTTTCACCATGCCCACCACACAACCATAGGTAACATACTCAGAAATAAACACCCAGGGGCAAACTCCCTCTCACTTCGTTATTGATTTCCATCAACATCTTTACAATGAGAATGGATTTGGCCTTTTACCCTAAACAGGCATCCACCTTGTTAACACCTCTGGTTGTTGAAGAAAGCAGATTTGCAAAGAAACTGTTTCTTGTAGCACTAATCCTGGCAAATGACTCCACATCATCTCCTATGAACTTTCTAAGTCAAGATGTTATTCAGTTCCCAGCTCACCACTGAATTCATTTGAAGCCGGATCTTGCCCATAGCCAACACAGACTCTTTAAAGAAGAAACCACAAAAAAGCTAGCAGATCTGTTAGCAACGACACTGCTGAAGCCTGATTTAGAATGGACAGTTTACCTTCCATCTAAGAAGGGATGAGGCCTGATAGACAACCTTCCTGTGATTAAGGTATTCGTGATGGTACCCCCTCACGTGGAGTCCCTGGTGTCTATTAACACAGCTGGTTCACAGTTCAATTATGTGAATTCTTTGATGTCTCATTATGCAGTTAAGCCCATGCTCCAGTTTTTCCCTGAGGTTCCTCTCCTCTCTCCAGACACTAATTTCCATGAAACTCCTAGGAATCTTAGTATCTCCGATATCGCTGTCATTGTGCCACAATCAGCCTGCAGTTTCAAGACACATTTGGCAAGTTCAAGGTTAGGGAGAAGGGAGACAAGGGGCAAGCAGGCAGTCCTATCGCATAAGCATCTTTTTCTGAGGAAACTAAGTTAAACACACCATTATACACTCCAATAAACGTACACTGTGATAGCAGGGGTGAAATACCATTTCTTGACCTAGCAGAGAGATCTCACTCCTTGATTCATTTTCATCACTGGCCTTTAGATTATCCTGCTCTTTAAAACAATTTCAGACACAGAACTAATTCATACGGTGATGAGGAGCAAAGACTCATTTTAAGTGTGAGAAACGACATCCTTTCATTTGCTGTAAATCTATGTGTTTATAAAAAAAAAACATCACCAGCCAGGAAAATCTCAACTTCCTCACCCCCTAAGAATCCACTCCTGGCTCTCTCCCTCCCTTCTGCTTCATCCGCCTTCTCCTCAACACAAACTCATGCTTTTCTTTAATTAAGCAAAAAAAAAATCCTAAGCAAAAAAAAAAAAAAAAATCTTAAACTTGCCTTTTGCTTGGAATTCCTCTTTTTGTTTCTCCTCACTACTACTAAAAAAAAAAATAATCTAACACTGAAGGCAAATACCAGTATCTATCTGGTCTTAATGTTTTTGTATCAACAGCTTTGACAGAATTTGGTTCCAGTGACAAATATGACCATGATTCTACCATAAATTGCGTATTCACTTTGTTGCCTACTCCAGATGTGACGCTTCATATCCGGAACTGCTAATGCAACAACACACAGCATTTCATAGAAGTCATGTTATTACCACATACACTGGTCTGCTTGCAAAACTTCATATTTCAAGGCCCACAGTTTCAAAACGAGTCTTTACTCTCAGACGCTCTGGATCTTAAGGCATGAAATCTGAACCTCTACAGTCTCCCTCTACGGTCTCTACTTTTAGATAACAGGACCACTTTTAATTGCACAGAAGCTCTGGCATTCTGGGCAAGAAGTTTTCAATGAATGAGCAAAATCAGAGACTGTTTAAGAAGACTTCAGCAATACAGTACAGAAAGACAGATGAAGAAGACAGCCTGAGAAAAGTAACCAATTTACCTGGAGTATTAACAGCATCTGAATAATAGAAGGTGGAACTCTGGCTCTGGAACGTGATAATGCATCTTCCAATTTAATGTTGAGGGTAATTATATTCCTAAAGTGCAGAAGAGCCAGCTGCCGAACCGAGGGCTCCTTCCCCTTAGAAACAGAAACAAAGTAAGATGGATTATGAGCAGTGTGAAAATGAGTTTCAAAATCCTCTGTCAAAATTCCTTCCTCCAATTCTGAGGGAGGACAAAAATGGTAAACCTGAATGAAAAGCAGAGGAAACATAACAAAAGACACAGAGCAGCCTACAAATCTGCTCAGTGAATTTGATTTGGCAGTAATGATTGGTGCAGACAATGACTGAGTTTGATTGTGTATGAAGATGATGAGGGGTTGGGGTAGGGTGTGGGGGATCGTACTTGAGCACAGAATATATATGAATATTTTGTACTTTAACAGTAATGAAATATCTCATATGTTTTAAAAAAAAAGACAAAAAAGGAAAAAAAAAAGCAGGGTTGAAAAACGATTAAACTTCCATTATTTGAGTACTGGCTGGATACTCTTTTCAAATTATGGTGGGAATCCTGACGCAGCTCACCTGTGGATCCTCCTTTTCTCTACAGTTTAGGAGACTTCACTATAAGGTAGAACCAGACCTGAAGTTTCATATTGCATTTTCAAAGACATCTTTTTGCAGTTCAAGAATCACTTCTCACTGAAAAAAATCTCATCTGAAAAATACAATGCTAGCTCTGCCTGCAGAGATTAACACCACTTGCCTTATACCTGATGAGGAGTTGTAGAACTGTTCCCATTGCCGGCACCAGGGCTTTTTCCTTGGGTACATATGGCTGTACCTATATACTCTTTCCTGCAGTTCTCAGTGCTGCCAGCCAAATATTAACCCTCCTAGAAGGGCTGATATTCAGCTGGTATTGACTTACCATAGTTTAGAAAAAAAAAGCCTGACCTACCCCACCCATTCCTTTCCATTTTGTCAATTATTTGTACTGAAGTAAAGGAGGCCAAATCCGCTTCAGTTGCTAATGAATAGCATTTACAAGAGCACATACGCACCAGCTGGGCTTTTGGAAGTATCCTTAGAACATCAGGCACCTAGATCTATTTGAAATTACATGGGGTGTGGGGTTCTTACCCCCTCCAGGCTCCTTTGAAAATTCAAGCAATTACTTCCACCTGAAAGGTGAGATGACTTGTGTTGCTAAATCATTTTCAAAGGCCTTAGGAACACAACAGTGAAAAGGGGTATTTGGTGCCATTTTCAAAAACATCTGAGTGAGTTCTAATTTAGTCAAGTCAGCATGGAAAACCAGGTTGAGAGCCTACCTATACCTCTAGGTTCCCAAATGCCTTGGATTTAAATTATGTGGCACTTTTATAAAAATCTCCCATTGTGTTCTAATAGGTTTTTAATACCATATTATGTCTATCATTTTGAAGTTTCTACTCATAAGACACAAGTCAATGGTTGAAGTAGCCCTGTATGTTTTCAGAGCTCTTCTCTTTCAGAATCAAATTCTGTGTAAAGTTGCAGCTTTTCCACTGAATTCAGATTTTACGCCTGTAATTAACTGCAGATGCAAATGGTAATATCGATAACATTTGGACAATCATTTTAGGCATGAAGACCACTTGGAAAAATGGGAGAAAATTTCCAAAGTTTCCCCAAATATGTTTAGGCACCAAACTCCCACTAAAATCTGTAGGCATCTAAGAGCGACTCCAGAAGGTCACTTATACCTACCTGGTATAGATTTCCTTGGGACTTAAGTGATAAACAACACTCTGTGGCCATCACTAAGTTAGAAGAGTGAGCCTCACCCAAAACAGATCAAACATCTATTGTGGATTTAAAATTACTGGAGTAAAATTCTGTGCTCGTGTGAACTGGTCTAACTTCACTCACTATTGCTGTTCATTTACAGTAGCATAGAATTTGACCTCGGAAATACAATTCCTTTTCAAAAATGGAGATACTTCAGAGACGAATTCACATGGCAGAGAAGGAAATGTATATATTTAAGTCAACACAGCTCCACTTATTTCGATGTGTGCATATTTCAGTTTATCATTTGTAACCTTTTTTGACTTTTAGCGTGAGTCGATAGAAGGACTAACCATCCTCCCCGCACTCCACGCCTGTTTTCAAAGTTCCCCTTCATCTTTTTCACTCAAGCACTTCAAACCGCTGTTTGCATAAGTAACTTATTTGCATGACATGACTATACAGAACAGCTGCGCTGGGAGGTTGGCCCAAGGAGAGAGAGTTAAGGATTGCATCAATCTGTTGATGAACCAGTAAAGTTGCTTTTTCCAGTTTTTCAAGATTCTATAGTAACAGAGTAATTTTTCACCTGCACAGGATAGAAAATAGCCTGAAGCATGGGCAGGACATCACTGAAGAAAAAATCCCACGTTTCAGCTAAGGTATCCAGTAGTTTCTGCCCTGCAAAAATACAAAACAAACTAGTGAACTGTTTAGGTTGTAATCAGCTAACTGCAAAGCCTAAAACTCGCAGAAAACAATGTGGATCTGCTATTATACACAAAGATGAATCATATAACAGCTACTATTAGCAGTATGGATTCAGTATTCCTTTCACTGTATTGGATCATTCAGTATTTGTGTGTTTTCAGATGACACATCTAATGTTCTTAGTAAACTCAGAGACTTTGAGGTTAAGAGAAGAACCCCGTGAAGAATAAAGAATAATAGCTCAGGTTACCTCCTCCTCTTCTTGGAATACCTACTGGACAAGACTGCGGAGGAGAGCAGTAGGAGAAGGACACAGCAGGTTAAATGTGAAAACATTCCTGCAGAGAAATCTCCCCCACCATGCTCCTCTCTGCTCTCTAAGCCGTAAGCCAGCAGAGCAAACTGTGCTTTGTGGAGATCCTCCACAAAGCATCCCATCAGACTGATCCCTTAGCTTCCCCGTATCTCCACTTACGTAGAAAATCTCACCCAAGATCAATGGAAAAAGAGAATGGTGTTGCGGCTCTACTTTTTCCTGTAACTTTCAAAAGATACAGTCAAAACCTGCTACAACGTGAGTTCACCATGATCCTCACACCGAGGCCACCTCCCTTTCTATTCCCTCCCCAGCTGCAGCCACCTGGAAGCCTCCCCAGTGGAGATCAGAGAAGCTCTGGTCAGGTCCTACAACCAAGTTGGACACGGAGTTCCTCACAGAACGTTTTGTAAAACACAGAGGCAAATGCAGGAGCCGAGATCTACGGGAGAGGAAGTCTGGCTCGATAGCTGGCTTCAAATCCCTGTTTCCCGAAACAGCCTGTGTGACCTTGGGCAAGCTCTTTAGCATCCCTGTGCCCCTAACCCAACTGTGAAAGGAGAGCAATGCCACTGCACCTCCACCAGCAAGTATTACGGAGATAAATACATCAATGATCACGAGGCATTCCGACAAGACAATATGACTTATCAGGAAGCAAATTCAATAGCAATCAATCAGTATTACTATTGGTGTCAGAATCAGATACTATTCTTAATTTTTGTATTACAGCATTACTTAGGGCCTCAGCCAGGGAACATTTTGCCCAGAACTACACACACATCACAAAGACACTCTGCACGAAAGCATCTACACTCCAAGTTAGCAAGTGCCAATCTTTATATGGGATACTTGATCTCCCTGCATTTTTAAGCACATGACAAATAGCACCAGCTCTGGCCCATCTGCAACTCCTGAATTATTCCTCGGTTGATGACTTTAAGTGCTTTCAGTGACAAATGTGGATCACCATGCTATACTGCAGCTGCTGGCTTGTGAACCACGCCAAGGTCTTCATTTCTGCACCACCAGGCAGGAGTTCTCTCTGTCTTACACACTCGTGCACAAGACTGAAAAGGGTGTTCTCGGTTTCAATTTTTTAAAAATTTGTCTTGCATTAGTGCTAGTAAAACACAGCAGGGAACTAGGTCCAAAATTCCTAGCAGCTGTAGCAGCAATAATAATAATAAATACTGTTGCATTATAACCTCCATATGCTAGTGTCTGAAACATTAAAGTGTTTCAAAGATATAAATCCAGTCATGAAGGAGAAGCCCAACCACTCTCTGCCTTGAGGGCAGAGTTTTAAAAAGAGTTAAGTACGTTAGTTGCCCACAAGTTGAGGTTAAGTGGAAACGAAGCCCTTAAAAATCTGCCTCCAGATGTGGGTGCTGAACATTGGTCCTTTTCAAATCTTGCTGCCAGAATTGCATGAAGTCAAATTACCCTGTTGAGATAAACATGCTTTTACTGTCGCACACTCCTTTCATCTTGTGGGCAGTTTGTTTTGTGAAGTGATGGATTTCTGTACAGCAGCTCAGAAAGGCTGCAGAGATAACCGCCTTTCGCCAGGCAGGCCTTTTACTGGGGGCTGTGGAAGAGCTCCTACGGATTGTTGATGATGAGCGTCTTTCACATGGAGGAACGTGACTTCCGTGTCCTTTCAAGAATATGTTTGTTTTACTGTCAGGCAAAGATCCCTACATTTACTATAAGCATTTGCCAGATTCCAGGAAGCTGGGTTACTCTAAATGCTCATTTTAATGAAGCACAATATAGTCAATTTTGTATCACATAAAAATGCATGTGGTACTTTTCACAGTGCTTCTAAAAGTTAATTGAAACTCCGGAAAAAAATATAATAATTAAAAAATCATCATTTCAAAACAAAAGCTAAAATTTTCAAAACCTCCTGCAGGACAAAAACCCTCCAAAGTGTGCTCTGAAGTGATCTTTTTTCTTTTTTGAAAACTTCAACACCAACTCAAACCATGGGATGTGGGACAACCTGAGATTTGAGAGCAGGACCGCTGCTGCTGCAGACCCAGGAAGGGAGCCCTGCTCAGAATGGGAGCTCCCAAGATTTCCATGCTCCCAACTTTGTCTCGGGTGTTTTGGGAGCCATGGGGTCACTGACTACAGGATGGACTCTGGGGTGCTGCTGCCTCGGATGCCAGGAAACCCAGATTCCAGCCTTTGGAAACTCACATCCACCAGCAGCTCCCCAGGCAAGCTACCAGAATGCTGTCTGTCAGAAAGACCTCTGCCTCTGAATGAGATTCCTAAATTACAGCTATCCTCCTGTAACCTGCCAGTTTTAATGAGCTGACATTTCCGAGGACGGACTTGGAAAAAACACGACCAATTTAATCCTCATCTTACCAGCATTTCTGATCATATTTTAAGGGGCAACCACAAAATGATACACCAAATTCAAAAGCAAAATAAACTTAACAGCTTGCTGAAATTTTGTATTTGCTAAACATGCTCCTGCATTTGAAAGCCATTTAGTGGTCTCACATTTCAATTTTTCATCTCAGCTTTGATCTCAATCATCAGAGATAGTATTTTTGATTTTCAAGCTAGTAAAACCAGAAGAAAAAGGGGTTGGACTTTGGTAGGTCTCTGCATCTAATTTGCTGATTTGATACTTAAAAACCAACTTCCTTTGTGATTTACAAAGCAGCTATGAAGGCCTTGTGATCCTTAAGCTCTCCTTGTGCTCTCCAAGCTGTTATTTTATATAACTCAGGAATTCTGTGTTCAGCTTAGAAGAGATTAGGTACTTTTTTGGGGTTATTTTTTTACGTGAAATTTGTTCTCTTTTTGCAGCGTTCAGGGCTATTGTCTTTTCATCAGAAAAGCTGGGTCCCATAGCACCATCTTAATCTGATCAACTGTACTGTCAGTAATGAAAGGTCACATTTAGGATTTATAGATAGCTGAAACTAATAGAAACGGTTGTCTCCAGGCTACTGCTTAAACAGTATATTTAGACGAAGTGGTATTATGACTGCAGCTTTGGAAAAGGAAAGACGCATTTCTTTAAAATTGCCTCAAGACTCCCCAAAGATCTTCAGACTGTTTACATGGGCAATAATTCTTGAAGATATTCTGAAATCATTTCACCCTCTGATGACATATAGAATCATAGAATCATTTAGGCTGGAAAAGACCTTTAAGATCATCGAGTCCAACCGCAAACCTAACATTGCCAAGTGCCACTAAACCATGTCGCTAAGCGCCTCATCTACACCTCTTTTAAATACCTCCAGGGATGGTGACTCAACCACTTCCCTGGGCAGCCTGTTCCAGTGCTTGAAAACCCTTTTGGTGAGGAAATTTTTCCTAATATCTAAACCTCCCCTGCCGCAACTTGTATGCCTACATCTAGGACAAAACGGCATATTTAACAGCATATCTAAATGCCACTTAATAGCATAGGACACGAAATGAGGGTGACTGTAAAACGACACATCGGGTGGTTATCTTTGATGTTTACTTCCATAAGGTGACACCTCGAGAAGGTGCAGACAGACAAATGGAGCCTTGACTGTGAAAAAACAAGACAATGTCTGACCTCATTTATGTAAGCATGAATCCAGAATAACTCTTAAAACAACCTCCAGCATTTTTTTGGACTTAGCCAGACACTTCAACTAACTGGGATCTTAGCGCTTATTTTTTTGTTTATTAAGATATCTCACTCTATTTTTCCACTTTTCCTTAACATTGAGCAAGCTATAATTGAAGGAGAAGGAAGTGTCCATGCTGGAGGTAATCCTTCCTTTACTCCCTCACTGCTGCTCTAGGCAATCACCTCTCCTTGATGAGAATGGGAACACCAAGGCAGCACACAACAACAGACTGCAGGAATTAATTGATACAAACTAACCTATAGTCCTGGGAAGATAGCGGAAAGCATTACACTGTCTCCAGAACGCATTTGCTAAAACTCCTGTGACAGACAGACATAGCCATGCTAAAATCCAAGTTACCTTCATAAAACCGGATCTTGTCCCTTAGGATCACCATGCCTTTTGTGAGCAGCTGATTCTGTAAATAAAATATAGACTACCTTTACTCAATTCTGTACTTCCCTACAGCCATCATATTTCACATTTTGTTCATTCTTAACTTTTGACAATGAAGGAGGTCTTTTATTTTAATGATCAATCATCAAAGGACTCCTCCTGTGTTCATCCTGCTTAAATCACTTGGGATACTTGTCAAATGATGATACAATCACCTACTGCTTTCAGGATACAGCACGTATTTTATGCGGTACAAAGTGCTTCTCAAACTTCAAACGGCTGACCCACAAAGCACGTACTCTGTCTTAGAGAAGCAGAAAGAATACTGCTTCAACAGACAGTGTGTGCTTACTACTAAATGTCTTTCCTATTAACTATACTACAATGAACTTAACTGGTTTACTCAGGAACTTAAATTTTAAGTTAAAAGAGAATGTCTGAAGTCTACTGAAAGACAGCAATGTCATAAAGAAACACAGTGACTGCACAAATCTATTCCATGGCTTGGGCTTTCGCTATCTAACTATATCTCTCTCTATATATATCTATATCTATATCTGTATCTATATCTATATCTATATATATATCTATCTCTAAAAAATCCAAATCTCACTAGTGCATAAATGACAGAACACATAGAAGTCCGTGGAAAAGTGGACATCTCTGAACGGTTTCATGGGACTCCAGATCAGCATTTAGAGTGGGTGAAATGATTTTGCTCAGTAGCATGTAACGAAATCTGATTTAAATGAAAGAAAATACATGCCTACCTGTAGGTATTCCGTGAAAAAGGATCCCAGTTCTGTTTTCAATAACTGCCTGTTTTAAAAAGAATAAGAAAAGGATCTGTGTAACCAGCAAATCATATTAGCTGTGCACTGCATGGAAAAGGGGAAGTCACTAATAGCAAAATATTTTCCTATGAGCACAGAGCCTGTCAATAATGCCTAACCAGAAATAGAGCAAACAGGGTCAACGATACCAAGACTTCAAGCAGCATTTCTATGTGTTAAAAGATAATCTGCTGTGCTTTTAGATGGCTCAGTTGCACAAATACATATGAAAGGCAATTGAGATTTGACAAAAAGAGGATGCTTTCCATCCTACATCTAACCCTTTTAAAAATGCCCGAGTTGTTCTCCTGCTGTGCCAGGGCTTCACTAGCGCCTGGCGTTGCAGATGTGGGAGAACTCCTGGCACTCTCTGCCCATCCATGGGCCTGAACCAAAAAACGAGCACATGAATTGGCTGATGCATTCAGAGCCAAATCATCCCTGTCCCGTGTAAGGTTGAAAAAAAGAGCCGTGACAAAATGTTTCGAGAGAAACCTGAAGCAGGATGATATTCTGCGGGTTTTGTTGCAGGCATGAAACTTGGCCAGTTTTCATTGAAAGGGTCATGATCTTCCAGCCAGGAAACCCACGACAGCTGAAGTTTCATACAGTTTCAACGGAAAAGCAGGTAGTTTAGCTCTGCCTTTCATGATTCCTCTACACTAAAACCTACAAAGCAATTTCAGAGAGCAAACCAAACTCACATGCAAAAAATTTCCCACAAACAACCCTCAAATTCAGAAACTGAATTCAACCCGATCCGCAAGCCCAACATTTGTATCCAGATAAAACTCACTACGTTGCTAAAGAGCTGTATGTCACTTCAAGTCTCACATGTGCTAGATGTAATTCTCTGCATTCAGGTCGCTATTTAGATGCACAAATGAGAGCTCGGACCTTATAAAAATGTAGCCCCAGCCAGGTTTTCTGAACATTTGCAAATCTGGCCTGGAGCTCTTTTGAAAACCTGTCCCTGTGCGACCACCTCAGGTCCCATGAAGAAATGAGGTCAAATTTGACTTAAAATCTAAACACCCACTTCAATTAGGGTAGTTATGTAAATGATATATTCAGTACCATGTTATCATCTATCCCTTTGGGTTATGTCTTTAACTAACAAATAACTAATTAATCAAATTATTTAACTAGTAAACAAATACACGTCTGGTTTAAAAAGTCCAGCACATCCCTACGCTCCATGAAAAAGTCTGCAGGAGTTGGATCTGATGTTTTTAACACCACATGCTTCAGCACAGCCTCTCGAGGTCTTCTGAAAGTTCAGGGAAAGGAGGAGCAGGTCAATCTTTAGGAGGCCGAAATACAATATCTTATTTATTTATCCTTAAGCACATGTCCACGCCGGCCTCATAGCACTCTGTGGAAACACTAGGCATAAATGAAAGAGAAAATAAACAAAAGGAAGGGGGTTTTCAGGTGCTCCTAAACATCAAAATCCTTTTCTGCTAGAAATCTGATTAATTCGGACAAACTATCTATGGACAAAAATTTTCAAAGCCAGCTCAGGCTATAGCCATAGGTCTCTCCTTGCCATCAATGGGCATTGTAAGGCTAGTCCCCTTGGCATGCTGTTGCAACACATGGGAGAGGACAACCCTTGCAGTGCCCTGAGACTCCATCCTCAATGGTACCCGCAGACAAGCCCTTGGCAGGGGTTAAAACCCACTTCCCCTAAAGATTGTTAAAGTCTTAAAGCCTTAAGAGTACGTCAATGAGTACGTGGATGCTCTGGCCAAATCGTGCCACGCTCACTCAAAGTGGGAATTTAATGTCCAAGTGGTGTGATTTTTTTCTGGATCGCAAGCGATGGCATGAAAAGTTTTTCTTATCTATCTTGAACATGGTTAGATAAACCATTTTTAGGTTAAAATAACAAGAAAGTTGCAGTTTTGAATTCTCCTATGGTAGAGACAATTTATTCCCAGATATCTCTTTGTGCCACTGTTTCAAAAAAATACTGATACTTTATGCTGACAGGTTTTGCTTAATCTTCTACCCTCTCCTCAAGCTAGCAGCTCTTTGAAGCCTAGTCCTGGATTGCTCATAGTCTTGAACAGGTGATTTGCAAATACCTTCTCTTTTCATATTTTAGGTTCTACTGATAATTCCTGGCATTTAGGGCAGGAAATACAAAATTATGTTCTACTTATCCAATAACTAGCCCTCTGATAAAACAAAATCCCACCACATTTCCATTTTTTCAGCTGTGAATGAACTAAACAACCAGCCTGTAGTTAATTACATGCACTGGACTGCATCACACCAAGCAGCACTATAGCTACATTAGCATCTCTGTTTACAGGGTGGAAGAAGAACTGACAGCATAATTAATGCAACTTGCTCTTTGAATCCCTAATAATACAGATAATTCGCGCTGCTTAATTAATTTCTCGTGAAATAGTGAGGCCTCAGGCCACATCAGAACACTGGTGTTTGATGTTCTCTGTACCCATATTCCTTTAAAGGAGATCCACAACAAAACTGGATCCAAGACATTGCTTGCCTTTTTTTTTCATCCTTGTTTAATTTCCTTTAACAAAAATCAGTTACGTTGTCACCTGTCAGATCCTGGATAATTCAGATTACTGAATAACTTTATCTAGATATGTGGACATCATAGTGGAATCCAGGTGAAAATCTGATTAAACCTAAAAGAAATCTGATTAAACCTGATCAGATGGAAGTGCATCTTATTTTGAAGCCAGTCATTTTGCACTCTTATGAAGCTTGTATACCATTTGTATCAGGTCTTCATTGCCTGTTTAATGACTTCATAAATTAAGATGATAATATAAATTCACATAAAATATGCTAAAATAGCTCCTGACTTTTTTGTATCTTCCTGCTGCCACTTCTTTGGTTCATTTTGAAATTAACTCTTGCAATGTTACTCAGAATGGAAAGTCTAACACTGTATAGTATCTGTTAAACAAAGTCAAATGAAGCAAATGGAAACAAGTGACGTTACTGGATTTCAACTCTTGCTACAAAAGAGGAAATGCCACTAAAATGTGCTTTGTTTGCATCAAATCAGTATCCTGAAACTCAGAAAAGAGGCAGCTATAAATATGTATTAGCTTTAATACAGGACGTCCTGCTTCCACTGTGTTTCCCTTTCCTTCTTTTTCTTCCTTGATTTACAAGTGGTGTAAATAAACACTTTGAAATGACATATGGTGCATGAAATGAAAAAGGAAAAAACACTATATGATTACTAATATCACACACATACATCATACTAAGAGAAATACTAAACAGTAAGTATATGCATATAGATTTTTATTACCTGACCTTTGAATCAATCCCCTATTAAATCACCTAGTAAGGGCTCAGAAGTAGTAATGTACAGGACATACACTGGTGATACTCCCAGCTACTCGAGTATCTTCTCACCACCTTACTGTACTTCATTAGCTTTAGCAGAGTTACTCAGGAGTTAAAGCAATATGAAAGAGACTGAAGTCACACGCCAATTTTATTAGTAGTAGGGCTTCTAAGCGCTAAATAACTCCATATTTAAGGCCACTTTCTAATGCCAGAGGAATGCAAGAACGGTGTCAAAAGGCATTGGTGTAAATGAGTGGCAGCTTATATGAGCCAAACCTAGAAGAAAAGTAAATGGTAGTGTACAGATTTGTACCCACTGATGTTTTCTTAAATAATCAGTGCATACATCATCAGGGTTCAAAGCTTTGAGATGTGGGTTCAGAAAAGGAAGTTATACGTATGTTTGCACGTATGTGACATACAGTAGTTGAATATACGTGACATTCCTGCGTCAAAACGATGGTGTGCAAATATTGCGGGCATAACGTAACTGTTCAAATATTTACACTTGGTCTGTGAGTCAACTTGGATATTCAAGGTTTAATTATGAAAAGTATCCCAGAATCTGCTCTAATTAAAGTGGTAAAATAAAATAACTTCTTTTACTGTTCTGTAACTGTTGAGAAAAGTTACTGATACTAGCCAATTACCTGAACGCTTCCACACTCAAATTCTGCCCAGTGGAAATAATGGCTATTTGTTTATTTTTATTTATGTACTTGTGGGGAAAATGCATCTAAAACAATCGTAAGGCAAATATATACTTGTTCCACTTCTGATGTCGTGTTTATGAATCAGGTATTTTTACATTCAATAACAACATTAACCCAAAGAAAGTTATTTTGAATTAAATAACAATAGTAGGAAGCCAGATATTTTTGGTATGTGTCAAATCAGTAATTTTTTAGTTAGGTTTTGAGCTGAATTTAAGTGAGGCAAAAGGGCTTCAGCTGCAAACAGTCAGGGGGCCCTAAAACATTATTGACTGTGGTCAGCAGTAAAATGAAGCACACAGCAGGAGTGCTTCTGGAAAGAGGCCGTGGCTGGACATGTGAACAGGCATGTTTAAAAAATACCACTACCATGCTCTCCTCTAGAGACAGATCTTTCGGCTGTTGCGTCCTCTTTGCCCACTCGCAGTTTTCTTATCTTAGCTTTTTTCTATGAATGAAGCAAGCAGGACGCACACGGGAAGCTTCACAAAAACAAACTCAGAGTTGTCGTGGAGAGGATGGACAGCTTTTGGCAATAAATTAGAACGCTCTTCAGGCCAAGTCGGAGGCAAGAGGGAACAACCTCAAAGCAGCAATAGACAAGAACCAGTCTCGAAAGCCATGCTGCATCTCACCAAATGCTCGCTCATCCCATGAGAGTTACGCTGCTGATGCCTCATTTACAACAGCAGCTTTCTAGCACAGTCTAAATTTCACAATATTTTGTCCATCAGCTCAGGCATGAGTCACCAAGCGTTGTTCTCCAGGAAGCAGAGCAAAACTGAGCGATCAGCCTATCCTTACCCTTACCTTAGAAATGGGCCTACTACGCAGCAGCAAAGCCCATCATAAAATGGAAAAAAAAAATCAGTCTGTTTGTAGTCAGTTTGCCTGTTCGGCTGCCTGGGATGTTGTAATAAATTCAACACAACTATATTAGCAAGTATCATCATGGTGCAGGGTTTATACCCAGGTAAATGAAAGTAAAATCTGGGCACAATTCACCAAATAATATCCATCTATCTGTCTATCTATCTATCTATCTATCCATCTATCTATCTTCTATTCTTGGTTCATACAAGATTATATTTGTCTCTGTCACATCAGCAGATAATTTTTCCTCTTCTGTCCCTCACCAGCAGATGAGCATCCTGAGGCAAATGCATTGGGCCAGGAAATCTCAGCCCAGAACTACCATTTTTTGTCATTCAGATAAAGCTGAAGAATCCTAACTGCACTTACAGTAATAACGATCAACCATTATTCCAACAACTAACTCAAAATGATTGATGGATTATGCTAACTGACAACCATCCTAGAAAAGCTATTCTTTGTATGTCATTTTCTCCCCAGAGAAGTAAGAAATAACTGGAGAACAAGTTTCTTTTACTTTCATAAAGAGAGAGAGAGAGAGTAAAAGATTGATCACAGGCCAAATGTCATTCACCTGCACTTCTCTGAAGATATTCCCACAATTAAAGGAACCAGACTGGGCCAGCTATCCCAGACTGGGAACCAGACAGGGACAGACAATCCCAGAACATCTGATATTCTGTGGATTTTGTCAGACTCCAGTGCCCGGATAGAGTGGGAATAAGCAGCAAGGGAAAGGGAATTATTGAGGCTCTTATGTGAAGACAGCCAGGGAATGTAATAAGCTGTCTGTCTTTTGTAAGTGCAGCTTCTTTTCCACTGTTTATTCTTCAAAGCGTTGGGACAAATTTCTAAAAGGAAATCTGCTACCTTGCCCTTGTCAGTGAGAGAGGGTTTAGTATGTAATAATAAGTGCTAGAAAAAGTAGTAAAAAGTAAAGTGCTGTAAATCTGGATATCAGCTTATCTCTTGGTAAACTATTCTTTGCAACTGTAACTTAAATAACTCGAATGGTAGGATTTTCACCTTCTCTTTGTTTTTTTTTAGGAAAAAAGTTCCCGTTATACACCTCACTGGTCTATATTTAGTCTGTTGCGAACAGTATCATCACAGGATGAGAAAGAAATAGGAACCTTAAACTGCATTACTCAGGTCACTGTGCTGACAAGACAGCTTTACAACATCTACAGCATACTCAGCCTGTGCCAAAGGAGGAGCTAGATGTAAGGGACCACCAGGCAGGACATCTTTCCTTGCCATGTCACACTGAGTGCTTGGAGGCTTTACATCTTCCACAGATGCAAGGGAAGTACCTCAGAGCTAGGCCTGGCACCTATGGAAAGGGCAGCATCATTGCAGCGGTGTAGAGCTGCATTACTAGAGGGGTCCAGGTTTTCCCTTCCTTAGTTTCAATCCAGTATGTTAAGACAGACTCTGAAATAATCCATCCTCCTCACAGCTAAATACCTCCTCTGCAGAAGGAGGAACCCAGCTCTTGCTACAGAGCGACGTGTTAACACACATCAGCAACAGCTATTCACTGAGCCCAAATTGACTGTACTGGCTGAAACTACTACCGGGAAAAAAATCCCTGTAATACTGCAGCAGAAGCTTTCAAGGGCGAGCACTAGCAAACAGTACTGTGCACGCTGGCTAATAACACCGTGCATAGAGCCGAGTCTCTTACCTGACTCCTTCATTGAGGTTGTAAAGTTCATGGTCCGGGAGACCCTTACGCTGGAACACTGCTATTACTCCATTGTGGATACTGAAAGAGGACATTAGGAGTCATTAGCACCCGAGCACATTTTAGAAGGGTATCACTTCCATAATAAGCCTAAAATCTCTGCCTAGACACTGCAGGACTTTTATAAAAGTCACAGACAACTTTTGGTACCCCCTCCCAGATGCCTTAAAGGGAATTATTGCCTAGAAAATAGATGACATCTTTGAAAATCAGTTCTTTTTGATTTGTTCCAACTCAGTAAATTCAACAGTTGCACATCTGAAATCAGTAATTTCAGAAAACTTAGGCTTATATATTTTAGGTACTTTAAGTATATTAAGTATAACTTTTAATATTTTTAATATTTTTAGGTATATTTTTGTCTCTGTGGTTATGAGATCAGTGGTGATATTCCCAGCATTGTTGGCATATGTTTGTCTGAGTTATGGTTACTTGATTTCTTTATCAACAAGTCAGCATTTATCCAGGATGGATGCTATATCTGAAGTTTAACCCACAAATATAGCATCCCTTTACCAGATGGGAATCTCAAGAATGGTTAGTTCTTTAAAAAAAAAAATAAAAGAAACACTGGACAATTATGAATTTTAAGTCAATTTAACCAATCTCTCATTCATTTTCAAAAATGAAACAATAGAAAAGGAGCAATTGGTTACAAAGACTGTTTCCTATTACCACTTACTCATTTCTCAAAGATTTGCGCTCTTGCTCCAGCTAAAGGAAAACCAAGGCTGCGCTGAAAGAACAACAGGTCTAGAGTTTCTAAGGCGGACAGCAAGAAAGGCAGCGATTTGCTAGGCATAGGCAAATATCTGTCCTACAAAAACGCTCCCTTTTCATTTTCAGTGCCATTTGTAACTGTTCTGCAAGCAGATGTTGCTTAGAGGTGGTGACTTTCTGCTGCAATCAGACGCAAACCAAGACAGGATTGAGACGACCACAAAATTCTCTAGCTCAACAGAAAGTCACATACTCAATGCTGTCCATCCCTGGGGCGTATAGCCACCAGCCCCATAAATTCTAGGACACTGAATGGCAAAAACCTGCCAGGTACTGCAGGTACCTGACAATCCACGTGCTTAGCAGGGATTGTTACTGGTCCCATGAACTTAACAAGACTGCACCTCAAAGGGTTACTGAAATGAGTATGTGCTTCAAGATGAAGCCCTGAAATGCTCCTGAAATACACCTGACACAATTAGCATGATGACACATCAGCCTAAATCACCGAGCTTAGGTCTGAGGACAAAGGTAAAGTAATGCCAGTGAAAGGTGAGACTAAACCCGTTCCAGCATTAGTAGAAGGGAATAGAAGCCTCCTTCCCCTTCCCCAACCCAGTGCCACCTTTTACAGCCTCACAACTTTGACTCCAAAAGGAAAGAAGACTCACATGGTCCCTCCGTCTGTCAGCTCATCCCCACTCCTCCACTCTTGGAACTGCTTCACAATTTCTACCACATTTAACTATGGAGTGGAAGTCCCCAAAATATTAAGGTCTTTTAGGTTTCAGTTGGGGTAGAAGGAGCATCTTTTAGTGACCAAGAACAAACTACAGGGTGAGCTCAGCCTTTATTCAACATGCTCACAGATGCTTTAGCTTCCCGACACTAACACACAAGAAAGCAACTTTTATCAGCTCATACTACTGCTCATACTACTGCTACTTGGTTTCTAATATGACTGCTTTTACCATTCCCACCGCTGGCAGTGACTGCAAGTTATTTCACTTCTGTCTGCCTCAGTTACCCCATGTGTAAAATAAAGATGATGACACTGACCACTAAAGGGTGTTTTAAGACATAGTTATGAAAATATTAGCAAAAGCAATGAGTGTAATTATCAATAGCAGTATTACATGCCATCATTGTCACTGCTTTTTTCTTCTTCTCTCACAACCCTCCTGATCACAAAGGGAAAATACAGATTTTGGCATGTGCCTCTTCCTATTCAATGTTGCACCTGAGAAGGGGAGATGACATCTTAAGGCTTATTAAAAAAAAACACAGGGCAGAAGTCTTCCTGCTCTGCACTTCCTCTCATTCTGCATAGCAC